AGTTCGGTTAAATCAAAATCCTTTTTTGTTGTACAGATTTAAGTTCACTTTAAATGAATTTTTTTATTTATTTAAAGAAATAAATAAATAATAAAAAAGTTAATTATTAATTAACTATAATAATTTGAATGTTCTTTCATTCATTCACTTACTGTTCATATTTTCAAAAAATTTATTAAAACACAAAAAAATATAAATACGTTTGAGTGTAGCAAAGATTTTAATCAAAATTCGTTTTATTCAAATAGTTTTCTCGCAGTGTAATTAATTACTTTTTTGCTACCAAATAAGTTATTTTTTCAACTGATTCGCATTCAGATAATACAGTCATTATATTGAATTGAAAAACAAACTTTTTCCCCTGGAAATCAAAGAATCAATCTTCATCATATATAGAGAAGTGAAGTGATAACAATGGTTGAAAGAAACTAATAAAGTATTTCACTCAGTGCCACGGAAGGAAAATTAAATCTGGTGGCCACTCCCCTTCGAGTTTAGTCGTAAAAGGGGTGCATTAACCGAAAAGTTGTAAAAAATAATAGAAAAAGAAGAGAAAATTGAATCAAAGCACGTGTGTGCTATTATATATATATATATATATATATATATATATATATATATATATATATATATATATATATATATATATATATATATATATATATATATATATAAAATGCTTCACCTCAATTTGATTTCCTTGAACTTTATACATGCGTTATTTGCCTCACGTATAAATGTGTAAGTGTAAAAATAAACTGTGATGATATTCAATAAACACCCTTTCATGGATTTCTAACGAGATATGAAGGTCAGAGGGTGGCATAAGAAGATAAAGGGTAATGCAGAAATAATATGACTTTTAACGACACGAGAGTATTTTATACTTTATGCACTTTAATGAAGAAAATACACCAAAACGGGTAGTTAAACTTCAACTAATGAAAATTTTGTAATATTACAAATATTTCGTAGAAATTAAATTTTCTAATATAAATTGCAAATTTTGGGGAAAATTAAATAAAACAAAAAATTAAATTAAAATTATTATTAAAAATTATTATTACATCAGAACTCGAACTAGATCCATAAATCCCGTAATTTGTTTGAACTTCAAAAGGTTTCAATTTGAAATTTTATAAAGTTTCAGTTTTTAATGAATTTAATTAAAAACTTTAATGAACTTGGACTTTTGACAAATTGTAATAATTCAAATTCTTCCGAAATATAATATAATATTAATATATTTAATTAATTATCAAAAATATTGGATTTATAGAAAAATTTTAGTTAAAAACACTTTAAAAGATTGAATTTTTAAGATAAGTTACAATAAATAACTGCCGAAATTCAATTATTTTCAAAACTATAATAAATTTCTTCGCTGTAATTCAATTATGTTCAACATTTTTTAAAAATTCATGCAAAAAATTCAATTATCTTCATAAATAATAAAATTCTTCTCTAAAATTTAATTATTTTCAAAAATTTTAATAAATTTCTTGTCAAAATTTCAATTGTTTTCACAAATTTTCCTCAATTCAATGATTTTCCATATCTACTGTTTTAATAAAATTTTGCAGAAAAATTCAATAATTTAAAAGAAATTTTGATGCAATTCTACGCAAACATTTAATTATTTTTAAAAACATGAAAATTGCCTAAAGGACAATTGCCATATTTTAGGATACTAACTTGCGACTTAATAAAAATCTGAGATTAGATTTGAAAAAGTGATAAAAATAAAAACTGTCGCCTTGAGGGCGCGTTAAACGAAAGTAAATTAGTGCTCAACAGTTTCCCTAGGTGTAACTTTCCCAGATATTAAATATCTCTCTGGAGGGTAATTGTCATTATCCAAAGTGACAGCATTGGACGGTACAAATTACAACACTTGATTTCATTTTTTACCCACTAAAAAACAAATCTCTCTCTCGAGGTCAATTTTGCCTTTTAATATCTTACAGAAATTTTGCAAATTTTACGAAATTTCATATCACCGTATTTTTAGTTTACAATGAATACAGTTTTTTTAAAAGGGAATTTAAAGTTTTAATATTTTCTAATTTGCATGGTTTGAAATTTCTAAATTCGTTGTTTGAAATTTCGATGATTCAAAATTTTGAGGTTTTTTCCGTGAATATTCTTAATTTGAAAAGTCAGATACAATAAAAACAGAAAGAAAATAAATAATAAATAAAAACAACAAAAATATTTTCTTGAACATAAATAAAATGACATGAAAATGCGACTATATTATTTTGGAGTATTATAAATTTAAATTAAAAAAAAAATTAAAAGATCAATACAAAGTGTAGAAAAAAAATTATCAAAAAATGTTGAGGCTAAATTTTTCTTTCCTACTTTAGAATATTGCTAAACTGGATATAAAATGGTTCTCACGCGAGGACAATTATTATCCCTTTGCGTTTTTCTTGATCTTGAGGGAACGCATCCTAACATATTTATATACAGCCGGTTAACGAAGCCTCTCCTTTTCTTGTGAGCTCACAGAGTGAGAGAAAGAGAATACCTCTTCTCTTGTGCGCAAAAGATTTTTTTTTTTATTTTTTTTTCTAAAGAAAGAAAAATTTTTCTCAAGAGCAACCTTAATTCTAAAACGATATAATACTTTGCAATGCAGGCATGTGGATATTGAAAGAAAACCATCGAAGGAGAACCAGATTGTAGAAAAAAAGTTTTTGCAACTAGACTCACTTCTACAAATCACAATAAGCTTCATTACATCTGTCATCATTTTTCATCATACATTTTGTTCTAACAGTTACTGTTGAAAAATTCATATTTCAGGAGAAAATTATTATAAATGTTGAAACCCAACAAAAACATCTTTGATGCAAAAAGTTCCGCCAAGTAAAATTTTTTGCAAATGTCTAAACAATTAGTGAAATAAAAATTAACTATAAAAATTTGAATGTTTCTTTTGTTTTTTGCTATCTTTAGATAGATTGTATATTATATTATTATGTTATAATTATTTTTATTTTATAATTAATTAAAAATTGTAAGGCTGCGTCTACAATAGAAAAAATAATGTTTAGGAAATTGTGTAATATATAGTGTAATTCCCCCTGACAGTTGTCAATGCCAAAAACAATACACATTACACTACAAATTACACATTATTTTTTTCTATTGTAGACGCAGCCTAATGAAAAATAGAAATTATCAGAATTTTTTGTCACTTCTTTTCATTAAAAGATTAAAATTTTGTTAAATTTTATGTTTTGTCAAATTGAAATTATGCAGATTTTTGTTCTTTTTATTACTTCTAAACAAAATTAGAAAATTGTTAAACAACTGTGATTAAGAGATAGAAGATTTATTTATTTTGCATTATTTTTGCTTATGAAACACAGTTTTTTTAACAAAATTATTATTTTGTTTTAGAAAAAGAAGAAAAATATTTGCACAATTCTTCTTTTTAATCTTATTTTTGGAACAGGATTTTTCACAGGAATTAAGACATTTAAAAATTTTAAATTCACATCTTTTTAAAATTAAACAACTTATAAAAGTATTTCTTCATGTTTTCTAATAGATTAAAGATGGCCGAGAGATAAAATCATTATTTTATATTATAAGAATATTGTTACCGTAACTTCATCAAAATTATTTTCATCATTTTAATTCAATTATTATTTTTTAAAATTTTAAATTATTTTTTATGAAAATAATAATTGAATTCGTGTGAAATTTTTATTATTTATTGAAACAATTAAATGTTTGCATACAATTCTATTAATAATTTTTTAAAATAATAAATTCTTTTTGGGAAATTTTATTGAAACAGTAGATATTGAAAATCATTGAAATTAGAAAAATTTTTGAAAATAATATATTGAAATTAGGACAAGAATTTTTTTTTACATTTATGAAAATAATTGAACTTTGGAGAAAAATTTTGTTATTTATAAAGATAATTGGGATTTTTACAAAAATGTTTTCAAATTTTTAACATAGTTGAATTTTATAAGAAGAATTTTAATTTTTTTGAAAATAATTGAATTCTTGTGGAAATTTTATTATTTATGAAAATAATAAAATGTTTGCATACAACTCTATTAATAATTTTTTAAAATAATAAATTCTGTTTGGGAAATTTTATTAAAATAGTAGATATTGAAAATCATTGAAATTAAACAAATTTTTCTCTACATTTGTCTAAATGGCAAAAAATACAATGTTTTGTGGAAAAATGTTAATATTTCAAAAATATTAAAATTTTATTATTGTATTTTTTTATTTATTATATTTATTTAGTCTAACGGGAATATTTTTAGCCTAATGGGAATACTTTTATTATAAGTGGAATACTTTTCAATAATTGAAATAATTTTAGTCTAACTGGAATATTTTGTCCAAAAATTGTAAATGAAATTTCCAGAATAACTTTTAGTATTTCCAAAGAAAATTTCTGTATAAAAATAAAAAAAAGTTAAAAGAAAACTACAAACATAAATACTTCTTTAATCAAAAAAATTGTTTGAAGTTAGAAAGCAGAAGAATAGTTCAGACAGTTTTATATGCAGGGAAGATTCAAAAATATTCTTTTGATGAAATTGAATAAATTTCTAAACGAAAAATTGAGATTTAAAATAAAATACATATTCAACAATAAACTGAGAATATAGCATTTCAACGAATATAATCTAACTTATGGTCTAAATTCCCAAAGTTGAAAGTCCTTATAAATCCGGAATACGTACAAATATTTGTAAACCTTAATCTACTCGAGTGAAGCTTTATTCAAGTGAACTCATTCGCGTAATCCACAGTCCCCATATCTGAAAAATCTTATTCGAAAATATTTTTCTGTTAAAGGAAGATCGCATGAATTGTCCTCTGTGTATATATATATATTCTATATATTGTACATATAAGGGACACATGTGAATGGGGTCTGTATTTTGTTATGTCAGATTGTGCAGGTTTTTTCTTCTTTTTTTTAATGTTTGCTTGCTCTATGTATTTTTCAGGTCACACGAGCGAGGGTGGTTGTTGCAAGAAATACGTTGTTCTATGTTGCCTCTGCGGTGGATTGAGTGCTACGGTTGGAAGCCTCTTTCTGACAATACATGTGGTCATATCTGCCAATACAGCGAGTCTCGCTCTCTTTGAAACTGTGCCCTCTTACATTCCCGGAACCATGGTAAGTCAAAAAATCATTTTTCCTCTTTTTCAAAATTTAATATTAGGTATCCTCGGAATAATTCGATGAATGAAAACTTGCATTTCACATTCGAACCCTTAGAGTGTTTACTTTCACGAAAGGAACGAAAATTGAAATGTTTTTGGAATAAATGCTGCTCTCTAAATTTAAATTAATGAAAAAGTTATCCAGTAATTCAAATTAGTGAAAATTTCCACTAATTCTTAGAGTAAAATTTTACTATTTCATTTTGCAGTTTTTAAATTTATATATTTACAGGGTTGCCACAAAAATTATTTTATATTATTCTTCCCTGCTCTTTTTCTGATTTCCAGACAAAATTTTCACTTTTTCCCTGACCTTAAAGAATATTCTGATTCACTCCAAAAATTATTAGATACGCTCAAACAAATGTTCTATTACATTTATTTACTAATTTCTTTAAATGTAAAATTATTCGAAAACATCAATAAATTCATTTTTAAATAAATATTTAATCTTTATTATTTTTCAATAGGAATTACGATTTTTAAAAATTGCAAATTCAAACCTTTTTTGAAATTCGACAACTTATAATAATTAAAGATGACCGAATAATAAAATAATCATTTTATATTATAAGAATATTGTTACTCTAAATTCTTCAAAATTATTTCCATCATTTCAATTCAACTATTATTTTCTACAATTTTTAAGTAAAATTCTTTTGTAAATCAATTATTTTTAATAATTTTTTCTAATAATTTCAAAACAAAATTCAATTAAACTTTTTCAGACAAATTAATTCTACAGAATTGTTTGTGAAAAGAAAGAAAAAGTCCAATTTTCAATTACTTTTAAATTTTTAATTGAAACCTTTCCAAAATTCAATTATTTCTAAAAAATTCATGCTTTATAATGATGTTAATATTCAATATTATAATCTACATTTTTTATTGAAATTAATTTTTAAATCAATTTTTATTAGAAAATTCCACGAGAATTCAATTCTTTAAATACAAAAATAAATAATTTATTGAATAACTGAATGTTTCTCTCTGAATGTTTCTGAATTTTTAAGAATAGTTACATTTTTCGAGGAATTCAATTAAAATCATATAAAAAATAATTGATATTCTGCGATGAGTTTTATTATTTATGGAAATAATTGAATTTCTATGATAAGAATTTTATTATATCTTTAAGAATAATTGAATACCTGTAAAAAATTGTGTTATTTATGAAATTAATTGAATTATTGCAAAGAAATTTAGAAAAAATTTATAAATAAATTTAATTTCTGTGAAATTTTTATTATTTATGAGAATAATTAAATGTTAATTAAATGTTAATAATTAAACTGCAAATAATTTCAAAAAAGATTCAATTAAACTTTCTCAAAAAAATTAATTTTGTAAGTTAAAAGTATGAAAAATCAGATTCTCAAAGATTTTAATTTGAAACCTTTTCAAAATTCAATTATTTTTATAAATTCATGCTATAATGCTTTTAATATTCAATTATTATCAAAAACTTTAATTGTATTTAATTTTGAAGTGAATTTTTAATAAATAGAAAATTCTACGAGAAATCAATTATTTAATTAAAAAAATAAATAATTTATTGAATAATGGAATGTTTCTTAAAACTGATTTCTCATAAAGAATATTATTAACAAATTTTTAAATTGATAAATTCTTTTGACGAATTTTAATAACAATTTTAAGAATTATTACATTTTTCTAGAAATTCGATAAAAATTGTATTAAAAATTATTGAAATTCTGCGATGAGTTTTATTATTTATGAAAATAATTGAATTCCTAAAAAGAATTTTATTATTTATGGAAAAAATTGAATTCCTGTAAAAAATGTTTTTATATATGAAAATAATTGAATTGTTACAAAGAAATTTATAAAAAATTTCTAAATAATGGAATTCCTGTAGAATTTTTATTATTTATTAGAATAATTGAAATTTCACCAAGAATTTTATTAAATTTTTTTTTTAATAATTGAATTCTTTTGGGAAATTTTATTACAATAGTACCTACATATTAAAAATCATTGAATTGAGGAAAATTTTTGAAAATATAATTGAAATTTTTTCAAGAATTTTATTAACATTTTTGAAAATAATTGTATTTTAGAGAAGAATTTTGTTATTTGTAAATATAATTGAATTTTTTGCGAGAATTTTTAACAATGTTTGAACATAATTGAATTTTTGCAAAGAATTTTATTCTATACTTTTGAAAATAATTGTATTTCGGCAGTTATTTGTAACTTCTCCAAAATTCAATTTTTTTTTAGTGTTTTTAATTAAAATTCTTCTATAAATCTATTATTTTTAATAATTAAGTAAATTTGTAGGTATTAATAAATGTAACTAATTTCAGAAGATTTGAATTATTAAAATTTTTCAAAAATCTAAGTTATTTAAAATTTTAAATTATATTCATTCAAAATTGAATCTTTATAAAATTTCGAATAACCTTTTGAAGTTCATCTATTTATGAAAATTGTAAACGCAACTCTTTTATAATTCAATTAATTTTGAAATATTTAAGTGAAATTATTCATTAATTAGTTTATAAGTAATAATTTTATGACAATTCTTCAATAATTAAGTTATTTAAAAAGAAATTATTGACAGAAATAGAAAAATTGAAGGTTTTGTACCAGAATTCGTGGTAATTTCATAGTTTATGAATTCAAAAAGTTTAATTTTTTTCAGTATTTTTAATAAAAATCCCTGACTTTTCCCTGGCCTGTGGAAACCCTGATTTAAACGATTTAAACAAAAAGGGAAAACATGCTATAGTAGTGGAGCATTTAAGAATTAGATCTTATATTAACCTTTTTTCTTGAAATAAAAAATGACTACTTTTTTTAAGCACATTATCAATTAACCCTTTCGTGCCCCCGAAAAACTCAGCCAGTGAATTTTATTGAAACTTATTACTCAGGGGTTTCTTGGGCCACTGATTACGAACCTAAAGTCAAATTCTCAAAATTTTGAAAATTCAAAATGTCGGATCCAATATGGCGGACATTTTTTTCAAAATTGCTCAAATTTGTATAGAATTTGTTACTCGGGGATTTTCAGGGTCACTGATTACGAATCTAAAGTCAGATTTTCAAAATTCAAAATGGCAACCCTGAAAAACCCCGAAAACCTCTGAGTAAGAAGTTGTAAGCGAATTTAAGCAAATTTTGAAAAATTAAATTTTGCTATTTTTTGAACGATATTCTATCTATTGTTTATAATAATTATAATAGTTTATATGTTATTTTCTATTTTTTATATTTTTAGTAGTTACGTTGGTGATTAAAAAAAGCTATATTAATTTTTTATTGGTTTAAAATTATAAGAGTTTTATTAAATTTTGTAAGTGATACATATATGCACCGGAGGCGCGAAAGGGTTAAAGAAGTTATTCAGAATTAAAAATCATATAAGTTTGTTAATAATGCTTGAATATTTAATAAAATAAAAGCATTTTAGTGAAAAATCATAAAAGCTTTGCAGAAGTCGGACACTTTTTTCTATAAACGAACACCTGTCCATTATATTCTTAATAGTAATTATCACAATACGTTATTATTTATGCATTTGACAAAAACCATGGAAGTGCTCGACTAATATCTGCAATAACCCTATTTCGTTTAAATAAATATTTCGTTAAATAGAAATTCAATTTTATTTCATAAAGAAAAGAAAGGAATTTCCTTTTTATTTTTGCGCAAAAAAACAGAAAAATGTTGAAAGCAATATTTCTCGATTACAGTTAATTCTTATGGGGCTATTCACGATGCTATTGGCAAGGCGGAAGCACCGATACGGACTCCTGGTAAGTCCATTCATAAATTCGTTTAAACATGTCCCCGAGAGTTTTTATCATTTTTTGCGGTCCGAGTTGTAAAGACACGTTTTAAAACGTTTCAGATGAAGGTTTGCGGTTCCGTTGCAGTTGTGTGTGCACTCGTCTGCGTTCTCGTCACCGTCACAACCACCGTGGTACACATGTCGAGGCTACAGGGTTTACGAGAGTGTACCTACACTGCCAGGGCAAAGTAAGTGCCATTTTTATTGAAATTTTTTTTTCTAAATCCCAGTCGCCTTTCATATATTCATTTACAATTCTATTTCGATTTTTACTACTCGAAAATAATCCACATTTCACTATTTACATTATTTAATATTCATTCGTTTTTCGTTAGAATTCCGAATCAAGAATTTTTTACTTTTAAAACAAAAATAGTGTTGTGAGGAAAATTTTGATTCGAATTTTTTTTAGAAAAATTGCAGACTACAAAAAAAGATACAAAATATACCAATAATACTTGTAATTCAATCCAAATTTGGTATTTTCAAATAAATTTTTGTCTGCGTGGCTTTAGAGACTACAATAGAAAAATAAAATTCAATATTAACGGCTAACTTTAGATACCTATATGTATAAAAAAGTTATACAAAAAAATAAAACAAAAGTTTGAACAGAATAAAAATTTTTTTTTACTAAAACATTTTTCCTATTAACTGGACTTTAATTAAAAACATATTTTTAATTTCTTTTACTTCTATTATTTTTTTTCAATATAAAAATGATGGAGTTTCTAATTAGAGTTGAAAACTATGTCTCGATTTAATATCAGCATCGCTGAAATATTGAATATCCGATAATTAAACCGGCTCGCTTACAATATCGCGATATATACACGTTAAATTTCGCGAATCTTCCATTTTCTTTTGTTTTAGAGGTAAATTGACCTCAAGGAAAAATAAAAAATTGGTTATCGAATGACTGGATATTATATATATGTAGAGTTGATAATATATAGATATACACATGGGGTGCATTATTACATCCTGTATTATTATTCGATTTCAAAATTAATACACTATATTTCACTTCTCTCTGAATATATAATCAATTATTATCATTTTCCACTAATTAATTGTCTGATTTCAATTATTGTCAATGGCTCTACAATCTGTATTAGCATTTATTGTCATTATCCGTATTAAAATTTCCATTCAGTATTAGAAAAAAAATAAAAAAATAATTTCCTTTTTAAAACATTCGAATTTATTCGTCTCAATTATTATTTAATTTCTCATATTTAACTGCAAAATTATCAAACAAAAAAGTAATTATGCATTAAAAGGAAAAATATTTATTCTCTCAAGAAAAAATATAAAAGAAAACTTTTATGGGCATAATTACAGCAGGATTGCCAAAAAAAATTTTATTGTTTTTCCCTGACTTCCTGAAAAAATTTTGACTTTTTCCCTGACCCAAAAGAATATTCTGATTCACTCTAAAAATTATTAGCAGGGTGACTTTACATGTCAGTAAAGTCAGTAAAGTCAGGGAAATGTCAGGGAAAAAAATATTTTGTCAGTAAAGTCAGGGAAATGTCAGGAAAAATTTTTTTGTCAGGGCAATTAAAGAAATTAAGACGGTCATGCAATACATTTTTTGCTCTAAACAAAAAAATTTGTGTCAGGGAAATTCGTTGTTATGTCAGTAAAATGTCAGGGAAATTGATAAAGTCAATCTTGCGGCCACCCTGATTAGATACTCATAAAATGTTCTATTACATTTAGTTACGAATTTCTTTAATTGTAAAATTATTCGAAAACATAAATTACTTACTTTTTAAATATATATTTAATCATTTCAATTCAATTATTATTTTCTGCAATTTTTAACTAAAATTCTTCTTTCATTCAATTATTTTAAATAAATTTTGAAAAAGTTCATTGATCCAAAATTTTAACTGAAATTCATTTTTAAATCAATTTTAATTTAAAAATTCTAATAGAATTCAATTATTTTAATACAAAAATAAATAATTTATTGAATACTTGAATTTTTCTTAAAATTCAATTCTTTCGACGAATTTTAATAAAATTTTTAAGAACAATTACATTTTTCAAAAAATTCGATTAAAATATTGTATTAAAAATAATTGAAATTCTGCGATGTGTTTTATTATTTTTAAAAATAATATTAAATTTCTAAAAATAATTTTATTATTTACGAAAATAATTGAATTATTTACGAAAATAATTGAATTATTGCAAAGAAATTTACTATTTATGAAAATAATTGAATTATTGCAAAGAAATTTCTAAAAAATTTGTAAATAATTGAATTCCTGTGAATTTTTATTATTTATGAAAATAATTAAAATTTTACCAAGAATTTTATTTATTTATTTATTTATTTTTTTAATTATTTAAAAAATTTTTTTTAAATAATTGAATTTATTTGGAAAATTTTATTCCAATCATATGTAGATATTGAAATCATAATTCTATAACTAAATCAAATTTTATTAGAAAATTCTACGGAAATTCAATTATGTATTTGAATACAAAAATAATTAATTTATTGAATAATTAAATGTTTCTTAAAATTGATTTCTTTCTACGAATTTTTATAAAAATTTTAGAACAATTTCATTTATTGCGGAATTTAATTAAAATTGTATGAAAAATAATTGTAATTCTGCGATGAGTTTTATTATAAATGTAAATAATTGAATTCCTGTAAAAATTTTTATTATTTATAAAAATAATATAATTATTCTGAAGCAATTTATTAAAAATTTGTAAATATTTCAATTCCTGTGAAATTTTTATTATTTATGAGAATGTTTGCGTAGAATTTAAACAACATTTTTTTAGTAATTGAATTCATTTAGAAAATTTTATTTAAATAGTTGATATTAAAAATCATTCAATTGAGCAAAATTTTTAAACATAATTGAAATTCTGCCAAGAATTTTATTAATTATAAAAATAATTGAAATTTTAACGGGAATTTAAAAAATTTTTTGAATATAATTGAATTTGTACGTAAAATGTTATTACTTTTGAAAATAATTAAATTTCTTCAAGCATTTGTAACTTCTCCAAAATTCAATTTTATTAGTGTTTTTAGCTAAAATTCTTCAGCTATAAATCTATTATTTTTAATAATTAATTAAATATACCTACATTAAGAAATTTAACTAGGTAATTTCAGAAGGATTTAAATTATTAACATTTTTCAAAAATTTAAGTTCTTTAAAATTTCGAATTAAATTAAATTAAATTTATTTATGAAAATTGTAAGCTCAGCTCTTTTTAAACCCAATTAATAGTTTATAAGGCAAACAAAAAAGTCGTCAAAATTCAAAATTTTCTTATGCATTTTAAAAATTTAATTGTTTTCCATTACGATTAAAAAAAGTCCCTGACTTTTCTCTGATTTTTCCCTGACCTGTGGCAACCCTGACAATGTTCGAGGATAGTCCTCTAAAATAAAGAATTTATTTTGCTTTTGGTACGACAAATAAGAGGAAAAGTTGCATTGAAAATAGAAAATTCTCGAGAATAAAGATTTTTCTTTTTCTGAATAAATGAAAGAAACTTTTGAAGAGGAAATAAAAAATTTCAAATCTCCCACAAAGAATTTCAAGTAGGCGAATAATAAATATTTATGCAATTTTTCTACTTTTTTTCCACAGAACGTGTACATGTAATGGTGCAAATTCACAAAATCGAGGCGATCCCGACGTTACGTTTGAGGCAACACCACATTGCGAGGTAGTGCAGGGGACATTATATTCTTGTTTGAGAGCCTTATTTGGAACGTCGGTTGCTGGAATTCTAGTGTGCATATTTTCATGTATGCTATTATACCAATTATTGAGTCACGAGAAAAAGAAGATGTACTGGGAACAACTTGAACTCAGATGCAGATCGCTTTATGGTCAAGGGGGAGCAGTAAGAACTGTTACTGGATCTTGTGGATGTTGTAGCGATTGCGGTGGAACAAGTCCCTGGTGGGCCCAAACTCCAGGAAATTTGTACACACCAAATCCCGACATGGCGCCTTCCAGGTAATTATCAACAAAATTTCTTCTTTGTACAACAACTTTTGCATAATACACGAATCTTCGTGTATAGCTTCACTCTGTGCTCACTTTTCATTCCCAACTGTTCCCTCCAATAATTACAGACCTCGGACGAGTGAAAGTATTTAAAAATACGGACTCTACCGACCAAAAATGAAAAATTAATGACCAATTACTGACAAAAATATAACTAGTCCGAGTCAAATAAGAGATCATTTTACTTACAACTATAGATTAAACTTTTTCATAACTATAAAACATGAAACAGACTCGGAGTGATCGACTTCTTCATGTTTTATAATAATTAAAGATGACCGAGTGATAAAATCATTTTTTTAAATTATAAGAATATTGTTACTCTAACTTCTTCAAAATTATTTTCATCATTTCAATTCGATTATTATTTTCTAGAATTTTCAACTAAAATTCTTCTTTAAAAATCAATTTAATCAATTCTTAATAACTAGTAAATGTTATACGCACTGGCGCGCAGAACGTGATCTTCAACTTATTATTCTTATGCAAATTACAAAATTTTTTATTTTCAAATATAAATTTTTAAATAATTTCATAATCAAAATTTTAAAAATTCACTTATTTAAGTACAAAATTAATTATTATTGTCTATATTTTCAAAAATTTTAATATAATTCTTCGCAAAAATTCACTTATTTTTACATAAATAATAACATTCTTCTAAAGAATTCAATTATTTTTATAAATATAGTAAAATTTTTTGCAATAATTCAATTATTTTTAACAAAATTTTGATAAAATTTTAGAAAAGAATTCAATTATTTTCTAAAATTTTAATAAATCCTTCTAAACAATTAAATTATTTTTTTAAATATAGTAAAATTTTTTGCAATAATTCAATTATTTTTAACAAAATTATAATAAAATTTCAGAAAAGAATTCAATTATTTTCTAAAATTTTAATAAATCCTTCTAAACAATTCAATTATTTTTATAAATGTAATAAATTCTTCGAAACAATTCAATTATTTTTATAAATTGTAAAATTCTTCGCAAGAATTCAATTAATTTTATAAATAGTAAAATTCTTTGCAGGAATTCAATTATTTTCAAAAATTTCCATAAAATTCAATTTCAACGAGAATTTAAAATTCTCTAAAAAATAATTCAATTATTCTCAAAATATTTTTAAAAAATTCTATATAGAAATTAAATTACTTTCAATGCAATTTTTAAATATATTCGTCAAAAAAATTGAAAGAATTCAATTATTCTCAAAAAATAATAAAATTCTTGTGATGAATTCAATTATTTTGAATATACTTAATTTTAATAAAATCCTTTAATGAAATTCAATTATTTTCGAAACAACTTTAATTGAATTTCTCGAAAAAATTTCTTTATTTTTAAATATTTCTATAAAATTTTTCATAACAATTTAATTATTTCTTAAAATTTTAATAAATTCTTCGAAACAATTCAACTATTTTTATAAATAGTATAATTCTTCGCAATAATTCAATTATTTTTATAAATAGTAAAATCCTTTGCCGGAATTCAATTATTTTCAAAACAATTTTAATTGAATTCCTCGGATGAATTCAAATATTTATAAATATTTCCATAAATTTCAATTATTTTCTGAAATTTTAATAAATTCTTCGAAACAATTCAACTATTTTTATAAATAGTAAAATTCTTCGCAAGAATTCAATTATTTTCAATTCAATTTTAATAAAATTCTTCTTTATAAAATTCAATTGCTTTCAAAATTTTCAATTAAAATTATTAAAGAAACTCCATTAGTTTAAAAAAATTCAAAGAAATTCTTTGAAGGAATTCTATTATTCTATTAGGAATTTCTATTATTAAATTTTTTGATAAAATTCTTTGCAACAATTCGATGATTTTCAATACATTAATTTAAAAATTGAAAATATTTGAAAAGAAAAATTATAAAAAAGTTAAGAAACAAAAAAGCAAACAACAACAATCATTTTATTATATTTATGAAAATAATTGAATTATTGCGAAGAAATTTATAAAAAATTTTGTAAATAATTAAATTCCTATGGAATTTTTATTATTTTATAAAAATAATTAAATGTTTGCGTAGAATTTTATTAATATTTTTTAAAATAATTGAATTCTTTTGGAAAAATTTTATTAAAATAGTAGATATTGAAAATCATTGAATTGAGAAATATTTTTGAAAATAATTGAATTTCGGAGAAGAATTTATTTTATTACTTATTTATAAAGATAATTTAAATTTTGACAAGAATTTTTAAATATTTTTTAACATAATTGAATTTCTGCGAAGAATTTTATTAGTTTTGAAAATAATTGAATTTCTGCAATCATTTGTAATTTCTCTAAAATTCTCCAAAATAATATCGTACAATTTACGAACTGTTTGTCCTTTTTCAATCAAATTCTGGACTTTACGGACCTTTTTTTTTTTTAAAAAAAACTGACTTTTACGGACTTCAAGCAAATTTACAGACCTAATTCGGGCTCTGTATTTAATAACTTTAAAAATTATTTTCAAAAATTCAAAAAATATTTAATTTTAGATTTACAATCATTAAAAAATAATTTTAAAAAATCTGTGAGAAGGTTGAAAACTATATTCGAAATTAGAATCTTTTTCTTTTTAATGATTCCTGGGTAAGGTATGATGCACTCGATTAATGTATGGCATTTAATTAAAAGTGACATTCCCGGGGACTTGAAGAAAAGCGCAAGTGCCGCTTGTGTCTTCCTTTTTTTCCCAACAATCTTTTTAATTCAGAGACTCAATGTCATGGAAGAAAGGTGCCGCTGATATATATTTTGCAGCCTGTGGTATTCATATATTTTCATAATCTCTCTGTGCGATTATGCGGCGCTGGGAGTACAAAAATTCTCCTTCTCGCATTTCATTTTCCTTTTGAATAAGAGAAGAAAAAAAAACAACGCAAAAAAATAGTGGAATCGCAAGTTCTTCTCTAAAAGCATCATTTTCCACTCGAGTGTGTTACGTAAATAAACCCGATTTTTAGTTCTCTATTACCATTTTTTTCGGACCTAATATTCTCTTGAACCGCAAATGATGATTTAATACCAAAAATCATTTCTAAATTGAAGCTAATTTTTTAGTGTAATTTTTTAGTTAAAAAAAACTAGAAATGAAATGAAAAAATAAAATATTTCTTTTTTTGCAGAAGATGGCGACTGCCCTGGAGTCGTTCTCGAGGTCCAGCTCCGAGTCCAGATTCAAATTATGGATTTCACGCGCAAGCAATGCAGGCGGAATCCAATGTTGAAAATGCAAATGGACCGTACAGCGTTTTGAATTCACAATCAAGTGGACCGTACACGGTTTTAAATGGCCAAAATGTCCAATATCCGGCAAGTACAGCCTCTTATAGTGTTTTGGAGGCTCCAGTGCCACTTTGGGGTCCCCCACCGCCCTACAGTGATCCCAATAGTCCTGCGAGGAGGCCTCAAGTACCAGAATCGAGGCCCAGGTTATCTAAGAGAATGGACAACTACGAGAGCAATGAAGGTAACTAACTATTTTTATTCTCGTCTCCAAAATGAAAATGCTCCTTTGAAGTTTTAAACGTTTCTATCAATCATAATCATAAATTCTATAAAATAAGTTTAAGGTCTTTATTAATTAAATTATATATGGCTTTAGAAATTTATTTATTTATTATTCTATGAAATAAAAATATTAAAATAAATAAAAATTAAATAATTCAAAATTCTTCGCTATTAAATTTTCCTGCAATAAAAACTACTGATTAAAATTTCTCCCTTTTGGAATTGAGAAATAGTTTTTATTAAAATTATTTAATTATTAATTAAATAATAAAATAGTTTTATTTAAATTTATTTAAAAGTGTAAGGTTATAGTTTCTTGTCAAGTCAATTATTTATTTATAAATATTATTATTAGTTTTATTTATAATTAAGACTATCGAGTGATAAAGTCAGAAAATTACAGTTTTAATTAAAATAATGAAATATAATTTTAATATAAACTATTTCACAATTAATTTCAAAAGAGGGAAATTTTGACTCAGCACATTTTTTATTGCACGAAACTTTACAGCGGTGAATTTTAATTTTATAATTTTTATTTATTTTACGACATTTTTTTAAATCGTAAATTGAGAAAAATTCACGATTACTAAATTTTTCATTTTCTTGAAAAGTAATTTTAATAGAAACTTTTCTCTATAACCTATTTTTTATTTGACAAAATCTCTGATTAACTGCTTTTTTATTTAAAAGTAAATTAACTGTAAACATTTAGCCAATTTTACTTGGTAGAAATTTTTATTAGTCGCGCAAAGAAATAAGAAAATTCGTCAAAATATATAAAACTGCCAAATAAAAATTCTGCTGAATAAAAAATTAATTAAATAAAAATTTTGTTTAAGAAAAATTTAAAGGAATAAGAGATAATAATATTATTAATAATAATAACAATAATAACATTAATAATAATAAATAAGGTAAAATTATAATTAAAATAAACTTTGCTAAACTGAAAATTCAGTTAAATGAAAATTTTTTGGTAAATATAAATTATGTTAGACAGAAATTTAGTAAAATAAAAATTCTTTAAATCGAAAATTTTGTTCAAATTAAATGTCTATTAATTATATAAATTCTGCTAAATGTAAATTTTGCTAATGTCAATTTTACTAAATAAAAAATTTATCAAGTGAATCTTTTATCTAAGCAAAAATTGAAATAAATAGGAAAAGTTTTGTTTAATTAGAATAAATTTTGTTAAATTGAAAATTCTGCTAAATATGGAACATTATTTTTTTTATATGGGTGATTCTCCGCGTAGCGCACAATTTAATGTCCCTCATGTTTTTAAAGAAATCAGTTTCATATATCTAATAAATTCAACGTGGATAACTTATTTCCATGATAACAAATAAAAGTCTGTAGCCGTTTTCATTTAAAAGTTTATGATTTTACTTAAAAATCTGTTTTAAGGTGCCAAAACGTCATGGTCTAATCAGTCCCCACTACCATTTCATAAATAAAATGTTATTTTTTTAGTAAAATATAATAATAAATATAATGAATATTGACATTTTCTTATTGTCTAAGTTAGTAGAATTGAGAAAAACAAAACACTTGTGGAAAAAAAATTTATTTTTTAATATTTTTGTAAAAATTTCTTGTCCCCCATTTTCGCGTCATGGTCTAATCACTTAGTAAAATTGAATAATTTACATAAAGAATCAAACCGAAAAATTACTTAACATTAATAAAAAGCATTAATAAACTCTCCTAAGTAAATTGCTAAAAAATAAATTAATTAAAAATTTTTTTATTCTGTTTTATATGTGTTATAAGCATGAAAGTTGCACAAGGAATCACAGAATCGTCATGGTCTAATCATCACATATTTGCAATAAAATGAATAATTATTTATATTTTACCTCAAAACAAGTTTAGTAGTATAAAGTAAGTGAAAACAAAAGACGTGGAAAAAAAGAATTTTGGAAATCGATAATAATTTGTTTAAAAAATTAGTTTAGCGTCATGGTCTAAGCACTTTTTCATAGTAAGGCTTTTCTGTATTGAACTGTGTCACTGAAGCACTCATAAGTGTAACGAAGATTTTAATTTCAGGTAAATAATGAGTAATCAAATTAATTTCTATAAATTACAGCATAAATTTCTATAAATTACTGCAGAAATTTCCATATATTTCCACATATTTCCGAAATTTTTTTTCTTAATTACTAATTTTGCAACAATTTACTGTTCATTGCCGCACAACTTTCTATAAATTTCCATAAATTACCAAATTCAAAATTTTTAATAATAATTTAAACTTTACATATTTTTATGAATTATCGCGAAAATTTCCATAAATTTTTATAAATTACCATAAATTTCCATAAATTACCGAAATAATAATTTTTAAATTACGCTATAATATTGTTTAAATTACCGCAAAATTTTTTTTGACAGAACCTGTCCAAACAGTGAATTTGTTAATTACTATACTTGTTTACAACAAAAATTATAAACAATTTTTTCGGCCCGCTATGGATTTTTCTTTCTGGAGCCTTTATCTTCAAAAAAATATATTAATAATAATCATAACGATAAAATTTTTTTTTTAAATTTCATAAACCAAACCGTGCGCTACGCGGAGAATCACCCATATAAATTATCTTAAACAGAAATTTAATTGAATAGAAATTCTTTAAAGTGATTTTTTTGTTCAAATATAAATTATCTGTTGAATGTAAATTCTATTAAAAATAAATTTTGCTAAATGCAAATTTGGCTAAATGTCAATTTTAGTAAATACAAAATTGCCAAGTGAAACTTTTATCTAAGCAAAAACTGAACAAAAGGGGAAAAATTTAGTTTAATTAGAAAAAATTTTGCTAAATTAGGCATTCTGATAAGTAGAATATTTTTGTTAAGTATAAATTATGTTAGACAAAGCTTTAGTTTAAATAGAAATTCTCTGAAGTGAAAATTTTGTTCAAATAAAAATTTGTCAAGTAAAAATGTTATTTAATATCTAAGAAAAATTCTACTAAATGAGTAAAAATCTATTTTAATCACAATAAATTATGTTAAATTGCAAATTTTACTAAATGTCAATTTTTTTAAAAACGTAAATTATGTTAAACGAAGTTTTAGCTAAATAGAAATTCTTTATAGTAAAAAATTTTCGTTGAATATAGATTCTATTACATTTAAATTCTACTAAAATGTAAATTTTGCTAAATAAAAGTTGAATTAAATAAAAAATTCAGTTAAACAGAAATTGATAAATAAAAAATAAATAATAAGATTAATAATAACTCTCGTTTAAAACTTCAGGAACATAATAACAATTTCCATAAACTTAGTACTCTAAAATTTATATTCTGAATTTATTTATTTTCAGTTAATTATATTCGTCTATGCCAGTCACCGTTTATATAAACTATATCAATCCATTCTTCCGATTCACTAATTTCACATTAAACATCAAATGAATTAATAATTATATTGAATATTAATTAATAATTAAACGTTAATAATATGTATATATATATATATATATATATATATATATTAGTTATTCGTAAAATAAAATAATGAATTATTGATAACTATCTAGATAAAATTGATCATATAAAAAAGAAACTTAAAAATCAGTTTCATGGATCCTTTAAATTTAAAAATTATTTATAATGAAAAATTTTATTCATAATTTATCATTTACTACAATACTAATTATTAAGAATTAGTCACAATTTTTAAAAAGAATAATAGCAATAATAGTAATAATAGTATAATATGTAGTAATAATAATAAACATAATAATTTTATTTTTATTTACAAGTTTAACGGTTTATATAATAATAATAATAATAATAATAATAATAATAATAAATTCACTGAACAAAAATTTTTTATTAATAACCGATAACTTGTCTATTAACAAATAAATATTTACTTGAACAAAATAATTTTTATCCAACTCAAATAAATTATTGTATTTGAACAACAATTTCAGTTTTAGAGGCAATTACCAAATAAAAGCCAATTTATTAAAAAAAATCAATTTACCAAATAAAAATTTTTTGGTAAAAATAAATATTTATTTAATAATATACAGCTAGTCCCATAATTATAATCAAATAATTTTTTTTCAGTGCAACAATAATAAAATAATTCATAATAATAATAATATTAATAATAATAAAAATCCAAAATGAAAGGTCCAAATCCAAAAGGTCCAATAATTAGAAAGTCCAAAATACAAAAAGTCCAATAATTAGAAGGTCCAAAAGGTCCAAAAGGTTCAAAAAGTCCAAAATAAAAATTGTCCAATATTGAAAAGTCCAAAAAATATAGGGTGATTGTGCGTATTACTATACGTGTTTCAAAATCAGCCACGTTTAAAAAATCATTTGAAGCTTTTAATATCTTAATTTTTTTTTCTAAATTTTTTTTACTGAGTAGTTAATCTTTCTTAGAACTAAAAAAAAGTCTTTGGGTCATAAAAATAATTTAATTTGTATTAAAAAAAAGTGCACAAGTGTAAATTACTACGAATTTGCTTAAAATACTACGCGTGCACTCGTAGAAATACGCACAATCACCCTAAAGTCCAATAAAATTTTATTTTATTTCAGTGGGAAACAAATTGTTTATTCCACTTTCTTTTATTTTACATAAAGTTGTTTCTTGTGTAACCTTGGTTTCATAGTTTCAGTGTTTTGTATCATTTGACATGTGAATTCTCGTCGTGGTATCAATCGAAATTTTTTGTGTTTCAATTTCAATCTTAATTTTGTTGTGAATTTATTGTCAATATTAAATTTATTTAAAAAATGGATAACGTAGCCGCGGAAATTATGTTAATGGGAAAAACGCGTTATTTACATGTCGATGGGTTTTTGAACACCACCCAAGTAGCACATAATATTACAGCAATATTATTACATTACAATATTAATTATTATTACAATAAATAATATTAATAATTGTAATATTATTACAATTATTATTACAATATTAATAATATTACAATTACAATATTATTACAGCAATATTGAGAACACTGCCTTAACATTACCAATATTGCCTCAATGTTGCTGGAATGTTCCCAACATTACGTGCTACTGGGGCAAACATTCGTCGGTGTGAAATATTGTGAAATATTTGAAAATAATGTATACTTCAATAACATTGGCTAAATATCAATCAACAACAACTTTGTTGATTAATTTTAAATTAAATTTTTAGTTTTGGACTTTTGGATCTTTTGGACTTTTTAGATGTTGGACTTTTCAGATTTTAGATTTTTCAATCTTTGGACTTTTTGTCCTATGGACCTTTCGGTTTGGATAATCTGTCTTGGACATTTTATTTTGGACCTTTTTTACTGCTACCCCTAAAATTCATGATAAATTATAAATAAATTTCAAAAAATATTCAATATTAGTATTAATATTAATTAATCAATGTTAGTAAATATTTCCAATTCAAATAACTTTATACATCTTCTGAAAAGTAAAGAATTTCGCATTTCGTCAATATTATTAACAAGTAATTATATTTGAAATTGAATAAAAAAAATGTCGGTGACTGGCTTTCATAAAACTAATACTACAGCAAAAGAAAACCAAACATTTTTCGTTGCTGTCAGATTATAGACCACGAGTAACGAAACGACCATCGGACAATTACGAAAATACCGAGGAGATTTCTAACAGCACTGATCCAGAGGGTGGAAATGAGGGCACAGTTAAAAGCAGACGATTGAGAAAACCACTGAAGGGAGTCGAAAACGGAGCCTTTCAACAGGAACCAAATCCAGCTCCAAAGCAATCCGAAAGTGAATTATACTTTGGGGATGTTTCTTCTTGTTGTGGACCAGAAAGTAGCTTTTACGATCTTGCCGTTGACAAAGATGGTCAGTTCCATAAATCTTCTTACACTTCTTTTCTATAAGTATAAATCGAAATATCTCCTTTCAAAAAATCTCTTTTCAATTTCACTTTCAATATCTTTCGATTTTCTTAAAATAAAAATCAATTGATAAACAATTTTTACTTCTACAGTGAACCCTTTCGGAATGCAACTCGCCTTTTTAAATTTTATTACAGTAAACAATCCTTGACAAATTGTTTTATAATTTATTTTTTACACTAATATTAAAATTAGTAAATATTTTTAATAATTTAAATTTAAAATGTCGGTTTGATTAGAAGACTTGATTTTGGTTTTATAATTTATTTTTTACACTAATTAAAATTAGTAAATATTTTTAATAATTTAAATTTAAAATCTCGGATTGATTAGAAGACTTGATTTTGATATTTTAACTTTTTTAAAGATAAAAGTCTACCTGGTATTTTTCAGCAAATAACTCAAAATAATTAAAATACATTATAAAAAACGAATTTTTGGAAAATTTTAAATACAAATGAATTGTGAATTTCGAAAAGTTCCCAAATTGGATTTGGAAAAGTTTTTAAGCGGGTTAAAATTTTATAAATTTTCAAAAACAGTTTAATTAACTGAAAATATAACTTCAATATTTTGAAACTAAATTATTTTTCCAATGTCTAATATAATATATTTCTATTCTATAATAAAAATCGAAAATAAAAAAAAATTAATTAATTTTGTTCGTTTAAACTTTCAACATTCAGAATTTCAGGTTTTCGAAATTCTCTTTGATAATTTTTTAAACGAAGAGAAAAGAAATGTTAAATTTTCTAAAAGTATTTTTCAATTTGGAGGGAAAGTGCGCAACAAAGCAAAATTTTGATATACGAACTACAAAACTTAAAAAAAAATTACATAAAATTTTCTATAGTTACATCAAACATAAAAAACAATTTAATAAAAGTGTAAAATAAACTATTGTAAATTTCATACAAGATTTATTAAACTTTAGAATTTTTTTTATTCCAAAATTTCCCTTTGTCGCATTTTCTCCCCAAATTGTAAAATACTTTTATAAAATTGAATATTTATTTTCTCTCCGTGATAATAGTTTTTCCTTTTATCTTTTACTCTCTGTATAGTCGGCATTTTTTCTACAGTTTGTAATAAAACTTTTATTCAAACTCTGCTTTTATTTAAAATTTTAATGAATTTTTCTCCTAACTGAGCAAATTCATTATTTAAATTTTTTAAAAATAAATAACACAGAAAATAAAATATGACTTTTGCAAAATTAAAATATTTTCTTTTCCGAATATTTCAAAAATATAACTCGGAGATGAAACAAGTCTATACAAAAACCGCAATAATTTTTCTTTTTAACAAAATTTTAGAAAAAAAATATAAAGAGAGTTTTAAGTTGCAAAAAATTAAGAAAATTTTGTAAAGTTTAAGAAACAACAAAATAACTATTTTTTTCAAGATCCTAATTCCATTATTTTCTAGAATTTTTAACTAAAATTCTTAGCTCCAAATGAATTATTATAAATGATTTTTTAAAAAGTTCTTGAAAAATTCAATTTTATGAAATTTCAATTATTCAAAAACTTTTCAATTAAATATGGTATTCAAAAATTCAAGTAATTTAAAAAAAATTTGAATAAAAATTGTTCAAAAAACTGACTTTTTCGGATTTTTTAATTAAAGTTTTTTAAAATTCTAAGTTTCTGAAACTTTAATTTGACACTTTTTGAAATTCAATTATTTCTAAAAACTTTAAACGCAACTCTAGTACGATTAAATTATTTTTGGACTTTTTAAGTAAAGTTGTTAAATAATTAGGTAAATTATACACAAGTCTATTAAAATTAAATTATTCTTGAAATTTTTAAGTAAAATTATCGAGGTACAAAATCAATTATTTTAAATAATTTTTGAAAAAGTTCTTGAAAAATTCAATTATTCAAGGAAAAAAGTTGTCGTAAAATATTTCTGAAATCCACATATTTACAATTCAATTTTATGAAATTTCAATTATTCAAAAAATTTTCAATTAAAAATCTATTAAAAAATTCGAGTAATTTAAAAAAAATTAATTGAAAAATAAATTTAAAACTAAGAAAAATTTTTTTAAAAAATTGAATTAAAATTGTTTAAGAAGCTAACTTTTTAGGATTTTTCAGTTAAAGTTTTTTAAAATTCAAATTTTCTAAAACTTTAAGGTACTGTCACAGCTCGCTACTGCCTGCGCAGGCAGCAGCGAGCTGTGGCAGTACCTTAAATTTGGAACTTTCTGAAATTAAATTATTTATAAAAATTGTAAACAGGGGCCATCCACATATTACGTCACACTATTTCTGGCCATTTTTGACCCCCCCCCCGTCCCCCATGTCACACTCTATTACATACATTAGCGCCATTTTCTCTACAGGGTGTCACAAATTGTTTGACCCCCCCCTCCCCCCTTAAAGTGTGACGTAATATGTGGATGGCCCCACACAACTCAAGTAAAATTTAATTATTTTTGGAATATTTATGTAAAATTGTCAAATAATTAGGTAAAATTATTAAAACATTAAATTCTAATTCAAATTTTCTAAAACTTTAATTCGAAATCTTAAAATTCAATTAATCATAAAAAATTGTAAACGCAAATCTACTAAAATTCAATTATTTTTGGAACCTTTTAAGTAAAACTATTTACTAAATAATTTTAAGATTGTTCTTCAAAAATTAGATTATTTAAAATAAATTTAATTTCTAATGAACTTCCTAATTGCATCGACTTTTTTGATAACAATTTTACTAGATTCACCACATTATTACGTAAAAATATACTAAAACCATTGTAGTAGGGTCGGCTTAGTTAATATAAATTAGATAAGTTACTTGTATGTTACAAGATTATGTAACTTTTAGTTTTATGAATACTTATGTATGAAAGGGCAAGACCCGTTTATAATAAAATGAAAGGAAATGAATATGAAATAATTATTCTTTAAAGTTAAATTCTTATTATTATTATTCTTTATGATTTCAAACTTTATAAGACAAAAAAAGCAAAAAATTTCAAGAAGAATTAAATCTTTTTAATATTTTCAAGGACTGCTGGACACAACAATTTTTTATTTTTTTATCAATTCTAGAAATTTAATATTTTTTCAGTACTTTTTATAAAATTCCCTGATCTGTGTCAACCCTGTAAATGTAAATTTTGCTAAATGTACATAAATATTTCCTATTGTAAATTCTCTAAATGTAAATTTTGTCTAATGCAACTTCTGCTTAATGTAAATATTCCAAAGTAAAAATTTTTTCTTCTACATAACTAAACAGATTTTTTAATTTACATAAAAAAAAACAATTTTTGTAAGTTTTTCTTTAAAATAAAATGGAAAAGTGAAGAATATGAACGATTTTAGGTGATTTAGTGGTTTTCATTAATTGATGGCTATAAAAAGAGATAAAAGAGTATAAGAAAGGAGATTAGGTAAAATAACGAAATGCGATCCTTGGAAAATACATATAAATTTAAAAATAAGTTAAGAAAAGATAAAAATAAATAAATATAGAAAAAAATTCAAATAACTAACATTTTATGAAAAAAATCTTTTTTAAAAAAATATTGTCTTGGAATTTACGAAAGAAAGTAAAAAGGAAGAAAAATTTAATTGAATTTAACATTTTTTAGCTGCTGAACGTCCCGAGGGTGTGGATTATCTGACAACTCGTCTTGGCAAGCGACAGCTGTCAAAACGCTCGCGACATCCTCTTCCACTTCCACCCGATGGCGTTGTTGGTGTTGGTGTCGTTGATCTTCCATCAAATAGTTACTCAAACACAACATCAGAAGAATCAAGAAATGCAAGAGGTCCATATTTAGCACCAGATGCACAATATGAAGTAATTCAACAAGGACGTTATGCGTACTATTCATCAAAAGTCGATGAGGAGCATAAAGAAACTCCCACAACGTCGGCTTATTTTCGTGAAAATGATATTGAAAGGGAACGGGAGAGAGACAGAAACAGGGAGAGAGAATACAGAGACTACATAAACAATAAGGAAGAAGAATCACCCCAATGTTGTTTAAGTGACTCGACAACTTTAGATTCTGGTTGGCAAAGTGCTGAACAACAGCAGCAGCAACAACAACAACAACAACAACAACTACATTCTGATGATAATGTTCGACCAGTCAATGTCTGACCATCTCATCCAAAAATTTTCTCTCAAAATTTAAACATTTTCCTACCATCACACTTCTAATCTAATAATAAGGAAAAAGATTTTTTTTACTAAACTATTAGTAAGTTATCCAAAAATTAATTCCTCTAAAGAATTCCTTTCGAATTTCTAGTAATTAACTTGTTGAATTGAAATTGAATCTTTCCGTTTAAATAAATTAAAAATTAATTCTCCTCGGATTAATTCAGTTCAACTATTAATTAATTTACGAAAATTAAACTTCCCATAAAAAAGTAACGAGTATAAAAATAATTCACACTTCCATTAATATAATGTTGAAATTAAAAATTTCGACTCTCGTTTAATTGAAATTTCAATCTAATTATTCAATTATTTGATTTCGACTAATTTAAAACTAGACAATTACTTCTAAATCAAAATTAAAAGTTAGATTTAAGTCGAAAATGTTTTTCCTATTTCAACTAAATTATCGGACAAATGTTAAAATGTGGGGAATTTGAGATGAAATTTTTAATTAATGAGTGCAAGAAATCGTATTGTGATGTGTGAGTGTCTGTCTGAGTGTGTGTGAGTGTAAAATTGACTTGAACGTTCCTCGCATAGTAACGTGATAATAAAAACACATATTCTATAGACTGTTTTTAAAATATAGTATAATAATTAAATTAGAATGTATTTTTATCATTTAATTAATATAATTATAATAATAATAATAGTAATAATAATAAAATACTGTGCGTCTCATCCCGAATGCAAAAATCTATTTATGTTCGTGTATCAATATTTAAATTATAATTAGCAAACAATCGTCGAGAAATAATTGACGTGAACTTGATTAAAAAAGATGTCTCGAATGCACTTGTCCACTAAAAGTGCAGAAAAAAAAATTGCAATTTTTGTTTATGATTCTAAAAACATAATTGTAAAAACTAAAATCTAATTACATTTCAAAGTAAAATGTAGTTGGATTTAAATGAAAACGAAATCAAAAAATATTAATAAAAAAAGAAATAGTCAATGATAAAAGGCTGCCAAATAAATTGTCTTCGCACAAGAAACAATTCAAATTGAATTAACATTTGAGACTGAAAAATTACTTAATGAGACTTGGAAACATTTTACATTCTTGTTTAAAGAGAAAAAACGTCCGTCAATTTCAACGAAGCAAAAAATAAAGTAAATGGTGTTTAGAATTCTAAACATTTGACATTTAAAAATTCACTTTACATCTTCACAGAATAATATTATCTGCAAATATGTGAATTTTAAGAAAAAATTGTAATTCATTATTTATTATTATTTGCAGTAAATTATTTATTATTTACATTAAATAGTAATTTATTATTTACAGTAAATGATAATTTATTATTTTCAATATTCGAGACATCTTTTTTTTCTAATATCCGACTGTCGCTCGATACGTCCATGTACAAACATGTGCTTTACTCTTATTGAAGTCAGGGTCGATCTTTGATAGTAGAGAAGATCGAAGTACGTATGTTTTTTAATATCATTATAGGTAAAAATTACAATTTAATAATAAAAATAGCATTTCCGTCGTATTCTTTAGCAGCGCAAAATGAACAAACATTTTTACAAAGTACCTACACTTCTGCTTTAGATGTATCACTAAAATAATTCCTAAAAGCGAGCAATAAATTGCATTTAACTTTTTTTTCTCTTAAGAAAAAGAAATTTAAACACAATTTTTTTTAAGGAAACGAAACTAAATTATTTTAACGAAACAAAATTTAATTTAAAAAAAATAGATAAAAAATTTAATTTAAAAAATACTTAACAAAAAATCTCAAAATTTTTCGACGCTGAGAAAAAAATATGTCGACGTTAAATTCAGGGAAAAAACATAAAAAAAAATTTTACAAATTAAATTTACTTATTTTATAAATTATAATTTATAAATTAAACTCAATTTTCTTCTTTCTTAAGAAAAAAAAAACATCGCTCTATTTGTTCGTGGGGAAAATATTAGAATAATTTATCGAGTCAGTTAGATAAATTTAATTAAATATATATTTAAATACTATAGATTTTTACTTGGAAAAAATAAATTTGTTGTATTTTTAATTTTCGAAAAAAAATGTAACAATTAATTGCTGTTTATTACGAATGTAATATAAATTTTTGTTTTGAAAACAAACAAAAAAACTGTTAATTAAAAAACCGACAATGTATAAAATAGGAATAATGTGAGCATATCAACTTTGTTGAAAGCATATTATAATATATAGTAATTTTATTTTTACAGCAAATATTTGTGCGATTGCTGTTTATTTTCTATCAATAAACAATAAAATAATTATTAATTTAAAATCCACACGCACTTGGAGAGAAATATTTCTATTTAAAAATAATGAAATACGCCAATTTGTCAACGTCACAAATTACACTCATTTGAGTGTCCTATTATTAATTATTATAAAATATTATTTTCATTATTATTAATAAATCTAATTTTAATGTTATTATTATATTACAATTATTAATATTATTATTATTGTATTATTATTATTATTTTATTATTATTATTATTATTATTATTACTATTTTTATTATTATTATTTTTATTATTTTTATTATTTTTATTATTAATTTTATTTTTAATATTAATTCGTTAATGAATTAATTTGAAAAAACGAAAATATTGATTTAATTTATTAGAAAAAGAACAATCGAGGCGAATTTTGAAAATCGCCAGTGGACCAAGGACAATACTTAAATAAAAAGAAAATTGTAAAAGTATTGTTTCTTTGAAGTAGAATAGTTGGCAGAATATTATCAAATATTCGAGAAAAAATGAAATTATCGAAATTGTTGGCGAGAATATTATAAAAAAATAAATGCGTATATATATAAGACTTTCCACAAATTTTGTGAACATAAAATAATATTATCTATTTTTAGAATATTAATGCAAGTTGACAATAATCGGTGCTACTTAGAATGAATCACTTGAATTCGTTAAGAATATTAAGAGAATATTTTACGTATTCTTTTATCTTTCCTTTTGTCTTTTTTCTTTTTTTTAATTAACACGTTTCTTCTCATAACGCGAATTAAATTTTCACAAAATCTGTGGATACTCTTGTATCAATATTTTCTAACGAAAAAAAGACGAAAAAATACTAAAAAAAAAAGGATAAAAAACAGCAACTCTTCAAAAAGAAAAGTGCGACTATGAATTTAAAAAAAAATTTTAATTTAAAAAAAAAACATCTTCATTTTGGTAATACGTTTGTGAATTTTAACGAATTCAAAATGTTGTCCAAATGAATTTTTAAACATGTGTATCAATTAAAATAAAGCTTTGTTTTGTAAAAATATATTATTAGTGCTATTTTTCTTTTCCTAGTTTTTAATATAATAATAATAAATAATTATTAATTAAATTTAAAAAATTAAAAAATAAATTATTATATTTAATTCATTAATATATTATTATAACAATTATAATAATTACGATTAATTAATTATTCGTAAAAATAATATATTGATATTTTTTTTTACTAGTTCTTAACAAAATAATAATTAATTATGAAATAAATTTTATTTCTTTTATTTAAATAAAAAGTTTAAATAATAAAATAATTAAATGATAAATTATTATTTCTATTATCAATATTAATTATTAATAATTATTATTTACTATCAACAAAAATTAGTATTTAATATTACATAAAAATATTAAATAAATTACATATATATTTGAATTATTTTACAATTTAAATAATGTTTGCCAATAATTAAATTCTCATTCAATAAGAAATGAATGTGAAAATAAAATAATTACAAAATAAAATACCAACCGATAGAAAAATAAATTAATAAAAGAGATTAAAACACATGAAATTAGATAGAAATATATTATAAGATCTAAACTTTTGTTACTTCTGTTTGTAATTTTTTCCACCGCACCTATACAATTTCATTGTGAAATATCGGATTGCAAAAAGATATCGAAATCAACAATACATTATTGCTTTAATTCACATTGAAATAATGTAAAAATGCATTTAAATAAGATTAAAATTGATAAAATACAATCATTTTTAAATAAATTTCTATTATAATTTTAAATAATAAATTCAATTTACCTAAAATTTCAGATATTAACGAATAGATAAATCGTAATATTGAAATTTATCGAATTTTTTTTTCAAATTATTACACAATGCTTTTCCCGCTTAATTAAAAATACCAGTCGATTATCGATATTATATTTATATCACACTATTTTAATAATAAATAGAAAAAAATATCTATTTATAAATTTTCTTTTATAAATTATTTAAAGATCGCCATCAAAATTTTTCTATTCGATAGCAAAAGACTAGGTATTAAATTATTTATGAACAAAAGTCTGATTCATAATTTTCCAAATCGAGAAACGAAGTTTTATTTTAGCATTAGAGAGATTTTTATTGAAGATAAATATAATTAGCTGGAATTATAGATAAAAGAATAGTGAACAGAAATAATAGAGTTAATAATTCTGGAATAATTATTCCATATTATTGATTTCCGGTTGAGAGAGATAGACTAGACGTTACAAAATTATAATTCCATTAAATACAGAAATACAAAACTATTGGCAGTAATTTTTTTTTATAGAAAACAACAGAATTACGAAATAAATATATTTAATGTAAAATAATTTATTTACATTTTTATTACAAAATTATGACGATTTTCTTCAAAAATATACATCTAGTATTTCTAAATTGTATATAAAGACCTCGAAATGACTTTAATGCGTAGAAAAGAGACGCTTTAATCGATTAAAGATGCAAAAAATCGAAAAAATCATTTATTTCATTCAGAGTTGTCACAAAAATTTTATTTTGTACATGGCTGACCATTCATTGATTTCTAAATTCAATAATTATTCAGAAATTTAATATTTTTGTCGACTTTTGTTAAAAAAATATTTAAATACTTCTTATTAATTTTTTCTACAAAAATTAAAATGTTTTAAATTTCAATTTCATACCTTTTGAAATTTAATTATATTTCTAAAAAATACAACTGTAACCTTTCCAAAATTTTATTATTTCCTAGAATTTTCAACTAAATATCTTTTCTATAATTCAATTTATTTTCAATTGTAATTATAATTATTATTACAACAATTATTTCCAATTTTCCTAGTCTCTTAGAAGAATTCAATTATTTATAATAACTGCAACTGCAATTCGTAACTTCTCAGTTTTTTTTCAAAATTATTAACGTGAATTATTGAAAATATATCATCGAAAAATTAAGAATAATTGATTTTTTATATTTTCTAATTAATAAATTTTTAAAATGAGTTTTTCATAATTATTTTTTAATAACTTTTTAAAGATAATGAATTTTTCAATAATCTAATATAATTTAGTAAAATCTTCTTAAAATAATTGAATTTTGCAAAAGAATTTTTGGAAAATAAAAAATAATCAAGTTTTTCAAAAATTTTAATTATAAATATATGACACAAGTACAAGATTTCTCTAAAATTTTAGTAAGTCCAAAAAAACGATTTTATAAAAATTTTAAATTACTTCATGTTTTGAAAATAATTGGATTTTAAAAGATTATGATACAAAAATTGTAAGAATTAGTTTTTTAATAATATAATGTAATTTTTTCGAAAATAATAGAATTTCTTAAAAGAAAGAGTCTGCAAAATTTTTAATAATAATTCTATAAAATTATATCTTTTACACAATTCTGCAATTATGTTTTTCAATATTTTTGAAAATTAAATTTTTTTTTTGAATTATTGGAAATAATTGAAATTTATAAATTCTTTAAATTTGTTTTTTAAAAATATTCTTAAATCAATTTTAAAGGTAATAGATTTATCAATTAGATATTTCTTAAAACTTGAAATTTTGTACAATTTTTCTAGAAAATAATTGAATTTCTTAAAAGAATTTTTTGACAATTTAAAAAACTAATATCAATTTTTTGAAGAATTATAATTAAAAATTTAAAAAAGGATTATTTTCTCCAAAATTTGAATAATAATTCTAATGAATAATATGTTTTAAAAAAAATTTTAATGTAATTATTTTTTTTATCTTTAAATTTTCTGAAATATATGTAATCAAAAATATTCAAAATAATTGAATTTTAAAAAAATATAGTGATTTTCTGAAAACTGTTTTTTCAACAATATTGTAATGTAATTTTTTAAATCTATTTTTCATTAATTTTCATTTTCAAATATTCTTACGAAGATTTTTCATTAAAATATTTGAGAAATTATTTATTGTCTTATATAATTATAATTTTGTCTGATAATTATTTTCAAAATTTGCAATTAAAATTCTTCAAAATTTGGTTTATTTATTTATTCAATTTTTACCTAATTATTTTCAATAAAATTTTACGAAATTTCAATTATTTAATTTAATAATTTCATTTTATTTAATTATTTATTTTAAACGTTTTAATTATCTAAATAGTTTCTAAAATTCATTATCTCTCAAAACTTATTTAAAATTTTAAATGATTTGACTACTACAGTTTTTTTTCACATTATAAAAATCGAAAAAATTTGCAGTTTATACAAAAAAAATGGTATTTTGTCGCAATATTTGAAAAAAGTCAAAAAAAATCGCGTTTTTTGAAAGTAGACGGAAAAAGACAAAAAAAGTCAGAACTGTATATTATATAATCTAAATAAAAATCTATCATTTTTGTGAGCAGAGAACAAAACTCAAACTTACATTTAAATTAAAAAGAAAATAAAACTTATAATTAAAATTCTTCTCTAATTATTAAATTATATAGATCACTGAGAATCTTATTCGCAACAAAGAGAAAAATAAAAAGAGAAAAAAAAATTCGAGGTATAATTTTCAACAGTTCTGTGAAGCAGCCTGATTAACCAAGAATCTCTCGACCCTTTCCCGAAATTCCCTACTGGATTCCGGCAATGGAAGTCTTGGTCCCGAATTCATGGAACTCTGAAAGGAATTCAAACTCTGCAAACTACCGAAATTCTTCTGATAATGACTAAGTATGTCCGGTCTTGGCGCTTGTGTTTTCTTTCGACGACAAAGTTTTTTTTTCTTATTATCATCATCATCATTGTTCACAATATTTCCACTGCAACTCGTTTCAACACAATTCATCATTCCACGTAAACCAATTCTTGCACTCACTAATGACCAAACAACCTCCAATAATGAAGCAACCAATACATTTGTCGCCAATAATAATTTCGAATGCAACAATCCATCATCATTTTCCCAAACTTTCATCATTTCCGGTGTTGTTCCACTTTTATTCAAAATCACATCGTGCTCGATAATTTTTTTCTCCTCAATCATTGACGACTCAGCGACAAGATCATCCAATGTGTCAATTTTTCTAAACGGTAAATTAAAATCATCCTCATCGTCATTCGACAATTTAAAATCCTCTCTTGAATTATTATTCAAATTCATTGGAGTTGAAGAAGTTGAAGAATTCGATGAATTCGATGAATTAAAATTAAAAACACTCTCCATTGACCAGGAGGATGTTTCATTGCCCTCGAGAATTATTGCCATGTGAAATATTGTTGCAGCCACGCAGAGAAGTGCAACGATCAATGATATTAGACTGCCGTAGAAGAAGAGACCAATGTTACGGTCAATGTACCATTTTTTCCAAGCTAGTAGACCGGAAATGAACGGTACCAGGCAAACGAGGGCCAAAATTGGCCCCTGAATGAGACCGGCAAGCGATCCAAGTAAAAGGGCAAGGATGCCGAGTCCCAAGTGAATCATCGCCAAACCACCGACCGTCGTCGCTGAATATTTCCTCTCCGATGGATAAAGAGACGAAATTAATGGTTTCGTTTTTATTCGTATAATATAAACCTCCTCCATCTTTAGAAACGAATTTTCCCTTTTTATTTAATTTTCTTTTTTGAAAAAAATAAATTGAAAGTAACTCCTCCTCAGTCCCGTGTGTATATTGTATTTTGTAAATCACTCCAGAGAACCCTTCAGCGGATGTCCATCGATGTTTCCTGCCCTCAGTGCACTTGACCGTGAACCACCTACCAGAGACCTTTGCTTTAATTTCTTATTGTCAATTTTTTTAAGTATTTTATATTTATATATAGTGCAAGCATTAAAGTGAAAATCCAACTATTTATTTTCAATCCTACAACCGGAATTTTTTTTACCTTTTTTTCAATTTTTATTCTTTCTTATTTTGTCGATACAAAAAATAAATATAAAACGTGATTTTTTTGCTTCTTACATTCTTCTTGTTTATTCCAATTATTTTAATATTTATTCGACACCAGGAAAATTTTGAAAAATAATTCTTTTGTAGTCCGTTTACTACTAAATAAAATTAAAAAAAATATTAAAATTTTCATCACTAAAAAATAAAAATTTTCTAAATAATAAGTGAAGGATACACCGATATTTTTATCTATATCAAGAAAATAAACTAAATATTCAAAAAAATTGTCTCTATAGTAATTTTTTGAGAGGAATTGAATAATCATAAAATATTTTGAACCTTTTTGAATTTTTTTTCTCCTAAAAATTGGTAGTTTTTGAAATCCATGTGGGTAATTTTGTAGAAAATATGTATCCACAAAAAATTGACGAATGAAAAAATTTATTTTTACTATTTTTGATCCATTTTTTTTAGAAAAAAACTTTGTCCTTCAGCTGAAAATTCTAAAAAAACTTGTATTACAATTCACTTTTTTTGTTTGAAATTAAAATACATTTGTTTCTTTTTATAACTAATTTCAAATCATAAGTAATTTTATCATATTTTTTTATATTTTTTATTTTTTATATTTAAAGAAATATTATGATCTGATACTTGTTAGAGAACTAAACAAATGAAGTTTCAAAAAAAAGATAAAAGGAATTGTAATAATTTTTTTTTTTTAGAATTTGCAGACGAATGGAAAAATTGATTTTTACTATTTTTGAATCATTTTTTTGTCTTTAGGCTTTAGGCTTTTTTAAACTTTATCTTTAGGCTGCAAATTCTAAAAAAAAACTTTTATAACAATCCACATTTTATATTTGAAAATTCATTTGCTTATTTTTCTAAAAAGTTTCAAATCATAATTTCTTTATACTTATAAAAAAAATATTAAAAAATTATAATAAAATTATTATTTGAAATTAGAAAAAGAAACAAATTTATTTTCATTTCAAACAAAAAAAATCGAATAATATTAGTATTTTTTAAAATTTTCAGCCTAAGGGCAAAGTTTTCTTCCACAAAAAATGGTTCAAAAAAAGAGAAGTCAATTTTTTCATTCGTCAATTTTTTTGTGAATAAAAAAAACAAATTTTCTACAAAATTATGCAGGCATTTCAAAAACTGCCAATTTTTAGGGGAAAAAAGTTCAAAAGGGGTCAAAATATTTTATGACCATTCAATTCTTCTCAAAAAATTACTACAGAAACAATTTTATTGAATATTTCAATTACTTTCTTGATTTTTATTGTTTATTAAAATTATTTTAATATTTATAGTTAATATATTATAACATTTACATAGTTAATATTATAAATCATATTTAATATTAATATTTATTCGAAAGAAAAATTACTTTTAAATAATAATTTTATCTTTAAAATTTTAATTTTCAATTAAAAAAATAAGAATATATATGCGATTATTAATTTCAAGAAAGTAATTAATTTGTCTTGTTCAAATGAAAAGTAAACTGAGAATTGTATTTACAGAGAAAATAACATTGTTTTTTGAAAAATATTGGCTATAGCGAATTTTAAAATGAATGAATTAATAAAATAATAATTTTAATATCATTTGGATTTTCACTTTAATTTCAAAATGAAACAAATATTTCGTGATAATAATAAATACATATTATAGCATCCAATTATTGCCAACAACTGTTTGTTTAAAGAATAACTAAAAATGTTTTTAATTTATTAAATTAGCAAGCATAATAATTCAAAGAAAATTCATTTAAAAAATAATTAATTAATTTAAAAACTTTATCTACCTGTAGTTTTCTCTCTTTTATTTTATTGAATTCCATTTCATTATTATTTTTCTAAAAGTATATATATTTGTCCCAAATATGAAAAAAAAGCAAAAAATTTTTAAAAACTTCAAAAAAGATTCAAATGAATAAAATGCATCTATTTCTAAATTGAAAAAAAATTGTTATAATATTTTTTTAATTTGAAAGTGCAAAAATATATGAAAGAAAAATATATATGTATGTAAAAAATGCCAAGGTAAGAAACAATCGAAACATCTAATTTTTATTTTTAATAAACTATTTATGTATGTAATTTATTAAATTCTACTTTCCATTATTCTATTCTATGAATAAATTTTAATTTAATAAATTTCTAATTTGAATAAATTTAATAAATTTATTAATTTAGTTTATTCAAAACCTTCTTTTATGTTTAAGAGTAAGATCTATTATTTAATAATTTACTATACAAAACTAAATTTTTATTTTAATTAATAAACTATTTATGCATGAAATTTAATAAACCTTATACTATTCTTTCATTTTATTCTATTAATAAATTCTATTTTTAATTTTATTAATTTCTATATTTCATTAAATTTAATAAATTTAATAATTTACTATACAGAAAACTACATTTTTATTTTAATAAATAATAATCTACCCTTCTTTTATTCTATTCTACCAATAATAAATGCTAATTTCAATTTTATAAATTTCTAATTTCAATAAATTTGAAAAATTTATCTCAAATTAAAAAAATTAAATTATAATTTCTTTTATCTTTAGAAATAATATCAACTATTTGTCTGATATAAAACTAAAACTTTAATTAATAAAATAAAAGCCTCATTGTTAATAAATTAGTTTCAAAAACTACTTTTAGTTTCATTAATAAAAAAATAGTCTCCGACTTAAATCTGAATTATCTGAAATTCTCTCAATAATTGAATGCTTAATAATTTTGTATTATAATATAAAAAAGATTTTATGGTTCGAAAATAAATTTCTTTTCGAATTTAATGCACTTACTCATGTTTTCGTGCAATTTGCAGTATTTTTTAGCACTTGTCGATTCAAAAATAAAGCACTTTGTCCTTTTTCTACAAGTTTTTAGTATTTTTTAAGCACATATTCTTCATCTCTGGAAAAATTTTAATTCCTTTCCTCTTTATCCTCTATTACAATTTTCAAATCTCTGCACTTTATATTTATGTAAAATATTATGCACTTTATTTTTAGCCTTGGTGGTTCACGTGTAAAAATTTATTCCAGTTTCATAAATTCACTCCTTATTTATTTATGCACTTTTGCGTTCTTTTTTAAAAATTTTTCTCCTTAAACAAAACAAAATTTCTCAATCTATAAATTTTGTGTTTTCCTCCTTTATTTTTATAATCTTTTTTTCAATTTTATTCCCTAATTGACTTTTCTAATCATTGAATTCTTCTTCCTTTTTATTGTTGATCCGCCTTCGATATTTTTTTTTATTTTAATCCACCCGCGTTTTAGCTATTACGCCAATTACATGTGTTCTCTGTTATACTTTTCGTTTTTCGATTTAATAATTCGATTACATAGTTGCCATCATGTAATTTTATGTTCGCCTTTATGGAGCTCGTAGATAATATCAAAATACGTGTGTAAACTTTCGTAATCTTCGGAATTGTATTAGCGTTGTATGCTAATCATCAAACAAGTACTCGTGTTTCGCTACTTAATTGAATCTTCTCGTCGACAGAATGGGATTTCACTGCACGTCGACTTTCTATATGCGCTCAACTCTTGTGCAATGTGTCAAACAAAAAACAATGACAGGATCAAAAAAATTTACTCACGACTCGCGCAATAAAAGATTGTCTCTCGGAGTCAACCACGAGTCACTGAAGGTAAATTTAATAACTGGAACCGCTTTTTTTCCATCCTTTTTCTTCTTCTTCTTCTTTTCTTCTTCCTCCTTGTAATTAAAGTGTCCCAACCAGTAAATTAACGATTCAAATCATCCGCTCCAAAAGTCACATTATTCCTGTGCGTGAGAAATCATCTTTCCTATAAAATAATTGTTCTCCAATTCACCGATCACTGAATTTTATCACAGGAACTTTTGTCTCTTAACTGAAATCATAAAAAACTGATTAACATTTTTCATTCTTGTATCTTCTATTCTTGAATGTATTCCTTCTTTTTTTCATTTTCCATTCAATTATCCTTTTTCAAAATAAATTTTCCAATTTTTCAATTTTTCCACAAATTTTTGACGAAAAACTTGAATGAACAATTCAGTGGAGGAAAAAGAGACTTCGATTGATTATTTTCTGATCTTGAGTGTCTTGTCACGTGGATTTGAGATTCTCAGGTCACGTTGAATGATAAACGAATCACGATGATAAATAAACGAAAGCGGAATGAATAGAAAATTGTTCGCGCGAGTAGAGAGGAGAAAAATTGGAGATAAAAAGAAAGAGATCCTCTCTTTGTTGGTAATAGAGACTGTGGAGTTTAAAACTGAACTATATGGAGACGAAGACTAGTCCCTGAGTTGAAATTACTATGAAATACAAAGTCGACCTCCCACGCGATCGACTTTGCAGTGAAAGGGACAACATAAAAGATCGACAGATAGATGCAACTATAATATTATGCTTTTCTAGGCGTCGTTCACACCATGTATTTCAATCGAAAACACTTTTTTTTCTCTCTCTTTTTGAATTTTAAATTTAGCTCTCTCATTATAATAAATGAATTTATCGCATTGCTTTAACCTATATATTTATATTTATTTCATTTGTTTCGAGTTCTTTCAAATTGTTCTTTCACACAATAAAACCGGGTTATTAGAAACGGAAGACAAATTCTGGAACAAGAAATTACTTTTCAAAAATTAATAAATATCTAAATAAGTAAATAAATATATAACTAATTAAATAAATAATTATATAAATAGAATCCTTCCTCTATGAGGAAACAATAAATAAATAGACAAAAATATTGTGATCCAAAAATATCTTTTAAATCCGAAATTCAAATTTTGCCTCAAAAAAGTATTCCATACAAAATTAAATTAATGATAATTAATATTCATCCTAATTAAATTCGAAATTTTTTCTGTTTGTTCGAATTGAAAAAAAAATTGGATAAATTATTGCCTAGAAAGGGAGAATTGAGAAAAAATTTGACAAATGTGCAAAAATGAAAATTAATAAGGAATAAAAATTTGAACAGTGTGAGAAAAGCATTATCGTCAAAGGTCTCGTAGCGAGCAGAATATCTCAGGGTCTTCAACACACGTAGAAGAATCTAGGAAAGACTGACCTTTATATTGTTGAACAAAGATAATATATAAATTAAACGTCATTGCCTACTTTCTTATAAAGCATTTACGAAATATATTTCGTCCATCCCTTTTACATTCACAACAAACAAAAAAACGAAAGAGTTTCTTCAATTTCTTTTTTAAAATCAAGAGGAAATTTTTTTTCTTTTTTATCCATTTGTTAAAAATATTTAAACGCTAATTTTTCAATATTAAACAAATTATAATAAATAAAATAAACAAAAATAAATAGGAAAAATAATTATTTCCCCTTTCATTTTGTTTATTTTATTTTTTAGTTAATTTTCGTAAATAGAAAAGTAATTTAAATTAAATTCAAAGAATAATTCAACAAATTATATTAAATAAAATAAACAAAAATAGAAAATATAATTATGTCTCGTCTAGATTTGTTCATTTGATTTTTAGTTAATTTTTGCAAATAAAAATTCAGTTTATTTTTTTCTAAATTTTTAGTTTCTGATGAGGACGATTGTTATCGTCGAAACGTTAAAAAGAAGTTATTTCTCTTTTTATTTGACTCGGAAAGAATGATTTTTTCTCACATATATAATTCAGTTTATTAATTGCAAAAGAATAAAATAATTCAAATAAAAATATTTCAAGAACAAAAAGTAAAAAAGATGGTAAAAACCAATAAAATATAACGAAACGAATAAAAATTACAACTAAATGTGGAAAATTACAAACAAAACGTAACAATATTGTATATATATGGAAACTGAAAATTAAATCAATTGTTTCTAGTTTAATTCATGCTTGAGAGAGAAAGAGAAAAAAAGAGAGAAAAGTCAAGGTTTCAATGAATGTCTGTTTGCGTTCTAAGTGATTGAATTCTGAATCAGTAATTAGGAATTCAATTGATTATGTGTATATACGTTTGATTATATACTAATCACAAAGCACGTTTAGTCGATGATTAAAAACTACTCGTATTTTTGCATTTTTCATTATAAAACAACCATTTTTATAAACAATATATATTTACATGTATAAAAATGGAAACTTGATCTCTTCCTTTTAGAAAAGAATTTAATTCCCACTTTTTAAAAAATAACTCAGTGAATTGTTCACAGTTAACAAAATAATACTTTTACTCCCAGTAGTTGCTTATCGTTTTGCAATAAAACATTTCTTTAATTATCGGGCTCCGTAAAATCAATTCATTGTCAGGTAATTAGAATTAGATTAGATTTAGCATTATAATGTTTTTTTTTACCAAATTATTTAAATAATAAAGATAAAAATAATAATAAACATTTTAAACGACAGAAAATGATAATATTAGTAATAATATTAATAATAATAATAATAATTTCTCAAAAGAATTCAATTAATTTTCAAAATTATGTTAAAATTCTTTATAATAATATATTATTTTTACTACAATTTCAATTAAATTTCCCAAAGGAATTTAATTATTTTCAAAAATTTTAATAAAACTTTTCGCATTAATTCAATTATTTTTAAAAAGTTTAATAAAATTCTTCAAAATAATTCAATTACTTTTAAAAATTTTAATAGATAATATTCAGGTCAGCAAAATTTTTTTAAAGTTTTTCAAATGCATTCAATTAAATTCAGAAATTTCATGATAAAATTCTAATTTAATTATCTTTAATACGATTTTAATTAAATTTTTTGAAGCAATTTAATTCTTGTCAAAAATTTTAATACAATTCTGTGTAACAATTCAATTATTTCCAAAAATTGAATTAAATTTTATACGCAAGAATTAATCTATCTCAATTTCAAATTTTTTATTATGATTTTCATTGAAAACAATTTTGATAAATTAATTTCTGTTATTATTTAATCTTCAAAACATTAAAAATACATTAACCCTTTCAGTGTCACTGACGCCTATAGGCGTCATCCAAAAACTGTCCAGGAGTGTCACTGACGCCTTTGACCAAAATCTTTTTTTTTTATATTTTAATTCACTTGAAATTAGTTGCTCGGATTTTTTCAGGGTCAATAAGTACTATTCCGGTGTATATTTAAAAAAATTTTTAATTGACCAAGTAATAAATTTGAAGCCTATTTATTTTAATTCAGAAATTTTAATTTTTTCCTGACACGCGTGGTCAATTTCTTGTATTTTGACCTGACACTTAAGCGGTTAATTATTACAATTTAATAAATTAGTAATTAATAACTATAATTCAATTAATTTGTAATTATTTACAATTTAATAAATTAATAGTAATTAATTTCAATAATTCAACTAATTAATTAAAAATTACTACATTAATTAAAGAAAGTAATAAATTACTTTTATTTATTTAATTAGTAATTACTAATTAATTATTACAATCTAATTAGTTAGAAAATTAATTACTGTAATTTAAGTAATCAGTCATTAATTTCAAAAATTTATTTAATTAGTAAATTAATTACTGCAATTTAATTAATCAGTAATTAATTTCTACAATTTAATTAATCAGTAATTAATTTCTACAATTTAATTAATTATTAATCATTTAATAGTTTTCAGATTTGAAGACAAAGTAACATTTTTTTGTGTCAAATACGTAACTTATAAAAATCTTTTGTTCCTTTAGAGAAAGTTGTTTTTTTTTCTCTGAACAATAAACACGTGTTTCATTATTACTACGTGATTGAGTTCAAGTTAAAGAGTGAAGATGTTTAAATTAACTTTAATGCTTCATAATTTCATAAAGATTATTATAATTTCAGCTTATTATGACTCTTTATTCGTAACAGAAAAAAACCCTCCAAAAAAATGTAGTTAGAAAATCTATTTTAGTACAAAAAATCCAGAAAAAAAGATTCTTCGTAAAAAGATTTTTTCAGGAGAAATCAAAATAGAATAAAAATGACAATAAAAATTCCATATTTAAATATTAAAATATAGAAATATATTCAAGGTATGAAAAATAAAAATTCATACTGACTTTCTCGATACCATAGAGTTTTTAAGGGGGATAAAAAAAAGTCAATCAATGAAGTGCATTCAAGTAGAAAATAAAACGTACTTTTATCTCTATTGTCGATACACTTAATGAGAGGTTTTAAAATAAAAAAACTTTGCACAAAAAAAATACAAAGTGAAATTGTCGGTAGGCAGTCCTATAATTTTCAGACTACTTTACTGATCTTCCACTAAATAGAGTGGCATTCCGGATCTTCAATAATTTTCAGAAAAAATAAAATTTTTATTTTCTTAAATTTTTCCAACTAGTGCGAGAACAATAATTATAAGACTGAAAAAATGTATTCTGAATGCAATATTTATTCTTAGCACCTATATGCATTTTACGTGAAATGTCCTAAGTTGAAATTTCAACTTCTTGAAAAAAATTGAAACTCGAGGAATTTGTTGTTCTATCAAGATAATTTATATTTAATTTTCAATTTCCCAAAAATCGGTCCGCTTTTTTTTTGAAAATAAATTATTGCAAACGAAAGCTGAGGTTTTTTCCTATCGGCATGTAAATTTTCAGAATGCCCTTTTTTTTGTTTTTCTTTATTAAATTTCAAAGAATAAATTGCGGCGCGCTGCGTCGCGGTTGCACTGAGCCGCGTGGCAACCGGCGTGAGGCGAGGCGCCCGCGACGCAATTTATTCTTTGAAATTTAATAACTCAAAAACAAAAAAAAAGGTCATTCTGAAAATTTACATGCCGATAGGAAAAAACCTCAGCTTTCATTTGCAATAATTTATTTAAAAAAAAACGGACCGCTTTTTTGGGAAATTGAAAATTAAATATAAATTATCAAAAATTAGGGTAAATTTTTAAAATATTAAAAAATAAAATACACCATTGGAAGGAGGACAAAAAACCTTTCAGAAACATATTCTAAAAAATTTTTCCCATTACAAGTATGTTCAGAAAAAATTCACAAAGTAGTCGGTGTTAGCAAAATTGGTCAAATTGACCCCCCTCTGCCCCCTCCAAATTTTCGAAAAAATCAAAAATATTTTTTGGGTCACATTTCTACTTGATAGAACAACAAATTCCCTGAGTTTCAATTTTTTTCAAGAAGTTGAAATTTCAACTTAGGACATTTCACGTAAAATGCCTCATATTAGAATATTTTAGTATATTAATTAATATATTAAGATTATATTCTAATTTTAAGGAAAGTATTATATACTAAATTTAAGTGTAAATTATAAAATATTTTTTATATTGCTATATAAAAATAAATATTTTTAATTACAGAATACATTTTTTTCGGTGAAATTTTCTCGTTAATTACACATTCTTTCAGTAA